TGCCATTCTCTTCCCAGACTTGCAAGCCAAGAACTCTCGCTCCATTTCTCAGTCGCACTGGATCCTTGCACACCAAACTGTAATCTGAAAAGTGTTGTCGTACATGCGATTCAGAGATCAGACTTTCATTAATGAAAATGTCATCAATGTATGCTGATGTGGCACTTTCAATTGTGCGGTCTTGGGATGTAATGGCGTCTATAACAGATTTCATAATGAGTGGCGCCACATTTAACCCAAATCCTAGCCGCATAAGACAGAAGCGTTGGCCTTTGGAAATAACCGTTTGAAATAGCCACAGCACTTCGTTGATGTGAAACTGAAGATATGCGTTTCGCAGATCAAGAAGTGACACATTGACTCCCTGCTGCTGCCACGCTCTAAGCTTCTGTGCACACACTTTTGCATCGGTAGTAAAAGCATCCACAAAGTTGTTCAATTCGCGGTAATTGAGTACTGGACGTACCTTCTGTTTCTGCTCCAGCATGACTGCCATCAAGGGAATCAAACCCTTTGGGGGGTCCCAGTCTTTCCTGGGGGTACAGAATCAACCAGCCGTTCACAATCCACTGTTGAAGCTCTTTCTTGTATTTTCCTCTGATGCTGTTGGGCACTTTGTACTCTATGACCTTGTTGTGAAGCTGAACTGGTGGGTCTTTTTGGGCCCATTTCCACCTGGTGGTCCACACCCTCTCGTCGGAATTGAAGGAGAAGTCGAAATCCGGCTCACTAATGCAAAGGGCTGCACACATTTTTCTTCCTTTATCCAGTTCCACATTTCTGGCTGGCGTGATTATCATGCCTCCTAATGCTCAGATTGCATTGATCCCAAGCAGCAGGTCGTAACCGAGGGGCTTTCGATGTGCCAACAAAATGTCAATCTTGGCATGATTCCCTCTGTCTGTGAGGATTGACAGTTTCGACACCACAACAGGCCTGGAACACTCCGTCAATCGTCTGAATCTTGATTTTTTGACTGCTCCATGTCACGTATCAATCCGCGCTGACGATCAATCGGGGGAACATCCAGTGTCGACGAGCGCCGAACACCGTTTAACCACAATGCTCACATTAACAACAGGCAATGCCGCATTTACTGACCGAGAAGGGGCAAGGGTTGTGACAGCACCTTGTCCCCGGACTCATTTTCCTGAGCAATCCTGTGCTGCATGGCCTAACTCATAGCAGGGTAGTTGTGCTCGTGTCCATCGGCTACTCCCACCTCCTACGTCACTTCGGCTTCGGCAATCTCTAGAGAAATGGTTTGGTCCACCGCACTTGTAGCACTTTGGGCCCTCCTGTGATGTCTCTGGCATTCTCACGGCTGCTGCAACCTGTTTCGTGTCTTTCAAGATGTTTCAGGCCCTGGCTAGCAATTCGTTGATTCCCAGTGTGTCCAATCTTGAAGACGCTCGCACGAGCCCCGACTGGTCTCGCCGGGAAGTCCTGCCAGGAAGGTGCATCCCAATATGCGGTCTGATGCTCCGCCAAATGGAACCGCCAGCCTTTGCAAATCGGCCAGGTAGACATCCACCATCTCACCCAGCTTGAGCTGTCATCCGACGAACTGTTTCCAAGCGATAAAGGGGTCTATTACAAAGGCCGTATATAGGGCGCCCTTGATCTCCTTTAGGTCAGCATCGTCCCCGAGTTGTTGATATATGGCGTAGGCTCCCCTCGTGAGTCTCAGTGGGATGACCAGTGCAGGTTCTTTTATTTTGGACACCCTGCAAACACGTTCGGCCTTCTCAAATCATTTGATGACAGTCAGGCCCGTGGGGGAACCGTCGAATTCTGGGATCAATTTTAGATCGAACTTGTCCATTGCCGAAATAGCTTGTGGTGGTAAAGCAACGACTCAACTGATAGTAGCAGATAGGAAACATGAGGAGGGTAACCGACAAAATAGTGTCACACGTCCAACCTTCTCATGAGCAAAAACCCAGTGCTCAGAAACAAAAACGTGCCTGCTTTATACAGCCGAGAACTGACCATAATTTGCATGCAAATGACAAGACAACGAGATTTTGCGTTAACTGTCCAAGACCGCCTGCCATAAAACGTGGGCACCGCCATTTTGGTTCTTTTTTTACTGTTGAGCAGCCAGAGTTTGCACAACACACAGATTCGTGGGCATTTCCGAGGTAGGCTATTTTCACAATTTTCCCCACACATATAGTGTATGTAAAAAGTTTTACATTATAGCATTTTTTATTATTTCTTCTTATCCTTTCAAAGATTTTATCTCTAATTCTGTTAGAAAATATTGAAGAATGAATAGGTATAATATAAAAGCCACAATATTTTTATTCTTTGATATAAACCAGTTATGATATAGGCCTACTCAAGTTAGGCGTATATGCATAGGCTTTGAGATTTGTAGGCCATAATCACTTAATTACATAAAGAGGAGTTGGAGGTGCCAAAAATAGAGGTGTCAGAAGTTTTGTGTTCCAACTCCACAGCCCTGGATAGAAGTTTGTCGATAAAAAGGAAACTTCTGTTACGTGGTCTTCAGACATGTAAGAATATGTGGTAAAAATATTAAAATTTTCTTGAACTGTCGAACTGGTCTGCTTATGTCATGAAAATAGGCAATTTTAAGGATGTAAAAAAAAAAAAAAATAGAGCAATTTTCAAACAGTAATACTGACATTTCTGTGAGAGAAATAAGGTTACTGCATAGAAATAATCTATTTGGTCATAACTGACAGGAGAACTAATTTGGTTGATGTATCTGAGAAGCTCTCAAAGAGGACAGCATGTTTTTGCATTTTGACATCTCGGCTATTTTCAAGTCCTTGTATAAAAAAAAAAAAAAAAAGTACATAAGACACACTTAAGCTGTTTATATTTTTTTAGTCTACAGTAAGTATTAACTATTTTCACCAAGTTTGAAATATCTACTTTCTGTATCCTTGGAGCTTATGAATGTTGGAAGTTTATTGAAAAGGCTTACTTAGCAAAATGCGGTGAAATTTCAAGATCCTCTGATTTTAAATCTATTAAAGATACAGGTCTAAAATTTTGGATTTTTCAATAAATTTGATCAAGGCACACCTGTAAGTTTTTCCAGATTTTTCTGGAAGGGTCACCTGTGTCCGTTGGTTGATTTGAGATGGAGTGACTGGAATTCAAACTTACCTTGCAGTTTTCTCATTCCCAGCTACTATTACACCGCCCATACATCATCTATCTTGTATATTAGTTGTAGCCGCTGTCTGTCTGTTATCAAGCTCCTCCTAGGATTTTGGAGATAGGAATAACCATATATATTCTGAATCTACATTACCCAGGGTACTTGGATAATTATATTTTATTTTGATCAAGGGGGGGGGGTACTCTGTGGGACACGCCCCCCCCCACCAAATTTTTTATTTTTTATTTGGATTTAAATCAAATTTAAATTTGAACAAGGGCATGACTCCTATCCAAAATACAGAAGGAGAAAGCCAGAAGATGGAGGTCACATTAGCAAGATCAAAATGAGACAATATGGACGTCAAGCTGAGCAAGAAATCACCAATCAGTGGGTAGTGCCTTACAATACATATTTGTTGCAATAATTCAACTGTCATATCAATGTTGAAATTTGCTCATCAGTTCATTTAATCAAGTATTGCATCAAATACATATCCAAGGGGTCAGGTCAAGCTGTTTTTGCAAAAAAAAAAAAACCCTGCTGGAAATATTTTCCCCTTTGATTTAAATTAAATTTAAATTTGAACAAAGGAATGACTCCTACCCAAAATATAGGAGGAGAAAGCCAGAAGATGGAGGGCACAGCAGCAAGGTCAGATGAGACAATATGGATGTCAAGTTGAGCAAGAAATCACCAAACAGTGGGTAGTGCTTTACTATACATATTTGTTGAAACAACAATGCTGTCATATCAATGTTAAAATCTGCTCATCAATTCATACAATCAAGTATTGCATCAAATACATATCGAGCTAGTTTTTCTCCACAAATTATAACTGATTTAAAATCAATCATCATTTTCTTACAAAAAAAAGGTATGACACACAGCAATGTGCAGGTAATTCAGCTAGTTTTGTAATAAATTTTCAATAATAATATTTCTGTAGGGTTTTAGATAGAACCCTTTAACTTTGTCAGTTCGAGCCCTTGGTATAGTTAGCAGACAGCCAACATGAATTAGTGCCGTTGGCACAGTTAGAATTAGTTTGCTCCTCAGAAAGGGTTGGAATAAGATGTGCTGCCCTCAACATTCAGACTCACACCAATAGGGAACAAGATATTCTGAGATGGTAGCTGACAACTTTACCTTAACCTAAAGGTAGTAATCTTTTTACAATCATCACCTATTCTAAGTACAGGGTCTAGGTCACGTTTTATACTTTTGCATTGTTACAGTTAATAAAAATGGTAAACATATTTTGGCACAACTTTTCATTTCCCCTTAGTATCTCGTGTTTATGTTTGGCAGATTCTTGGGCCGTTATAATAACCCAGCATCCTAAATTATTTATTTTTCTTTTTCATTGTGAGATTAAATATTTTCACCATTCAAAATATTTCAATAACTTTCCATTCTCTTTTTCTCTTTATTGTAATGTTAAATTTAATTTTTACTTTTATAACCTCTAATGTTAGATGAGATACAAACTTATGTACAACACTTCAAGACTTTAGCTTTTTAACTTTCCTGGCCAATGCCTCAACCATTAAGATACCGATGATGCCATCATGAAGCTGTGTTGCATCTTCTGCTACTTTTGAAAATGTTCCACAATTTATCATCTATTAAATAGTAGTTGGAGTAATAAGACTCTTAAATTGTTTGAGGAATTTCTGCAGGTGAAGAATTTTCACAATGAGAAATATTTGGATTAGTTTTGTTTTTTGTCAATCCATTTTTTTGAATTAGAAACTTATTTGCGAGAATTTAAAATAAGTTGCAGCAAAACAGAAAAACTTACATTGAAAAACACCTGGGTCTCATCCATCACAAATGACATCTTAACCAATTTAGTTTTTGACCACATCACGTTGAAACACCAGTTGCTGTATGATCTGCAAAGTTAAGCAACATCAGGCCGGGTCAGTACCTAGGTGGGTGACCACTTGGGAATACCAGGTGCTGTAAGCTTGGGTGTGCGGGTGATGTGATAAATAATGGTACAGAATTATTAATCGGACAGCTGAGTTCCAATTTCCATTGGGTTGGTTATATTCACTTAGGTGCAAATACCCTTGGGAAAGGCATGAATCCACTGCTAATCCCTACACAGCTATAGGTTAATCACTTGTATCACTAAACCATTATAATTTTTTTTTTAAATTCTTAGAATCTAAAAATATTTTCTGGCTTTAAATAACCTGCAAAGGATTGACAAGCTGTAGAAAACCAACCAATCAATGAAATACTGATTAGCTACACAGGCATGATTTTTAAATTTATTTATATTCTCTGGAATATAAATTTATAGAAACTATGATGGCTACAAAAATTGAATTGATCCCTCACTTTATATCCATTATAATTTCTTGTCTATCAAATTCAAATCAGATATGACTCTACCTCTTCTCTCCCCAGCTATGGGTTAATTAGTAAGACTTGTATCACTAAACCATTATTATCACAAAAATATTGTTATAATCTAAAAATTTTCTGATTTTTAAATAATCTGCAAAGAGGTGATGAGCTGAAGAAAATGAATCAATTAGCCAGAGTTTAGTAAGCAAAAATTGTCAGTTGTTTCATAAAAAATTGTCAGGTGATTCATAACTGGACAATGTGTCAGTTTTTTCAATTCACAATGACAATATTTTACTCCCACTTCTTCTTTATAGTTTTTGGACTATTGACATCATTTTTGTTTGATATATTGTTTGTCCTTTAGATTGGCTTATTATTTGACTCTTCACAGTTTCATTAAGCCTCTTTTCTCATCATTTCAATGTAGACATGCCGGCAATGTAGAATCTTACAATTGAAAATAAATACTTGTGTTGGCATTATAAAGAGTAAAACATGTTTATTGTATTCTGGACTCTATGAGAGATGAACCGTTTTATGAAGTTTCAAAAAATTAATTGAATTTAAGATTAACTGAAAAAAACAAAAAAAACAAAACAAATTTCTTAAAAGTAATATTTTAATATAATTCACAATTATTTCTTTTATTTAATTTATTATAAATATTATGATTATTATATTTATTTGTATTTATATATGTATTGATTATTTCTTTCAAGTTTTTCTGGTTATCAGGTCTTTTTGTTTGTCTTATTTTTACTTTCTGTTCTTGCTTATCTAAAGTAACATTTATCAACTTTGCCTCCTATTTTTTTTATCAATTGATGGTTTAGGTCTGACTACTGTGAAAAGAGCAAGTATAAATTATTGTAATGACTTCATAATCTCAGAATATTTTAGACTTAAATTTCAATTTTTATATTTTTCTTTCTGTAATCTTTTTCCACAGTTATCAAAGTTTTTGTTATTTGTATAACTCCTTTATAATTTGTCTTGATTTCTAGTGTTTATTTTTATTTTTTTTTCATCTAACATCATTTTATAATATATATATATATATATATATATATATACACACAAATGGATTAAAAATCCAGTTTGTAGCATTTACTTTTTTTAAAAAAAGTGCTCAATACAAAGTAGACAGGATATTATTATTATTATTATTATTATTATTATTATAAGAGGTTATAATAAAGCATTTTTAAATTGCTACACAAAAGCTTTCATGTTTCAATACTATCATTGCACTTCCACAGGTGATGGTAGGTAACTGGTGGTAAAATGATTTCTTAGCAAAATTTACAAAACAGATCGTTACCTCCTTTTCCTGAAGTGAAGGAGGGTATAAGATTTGTTGTTGTAGCCAGATATGACAAGTTCTATTTGTTTTAGGGAATTGGTAGTTTAATCAGTCATAAAGATTAACCTATCAACTCCCTTAAGCAAATAGTACTTGTCATATATGCCTACAATCATGATACATTTGTCGCTGTCATATCCACCACAATCGTCAATGATGTCATGTCTGTGTTGGTTTATCGTGACATGAAGAAAAAATTAACTCTCCCACTTCCACCCTCAAACCTTATTTTTCTATTTAGCATAGATCTGAGATTTAATTGGTTTATCCAGACAAACCCACCAGTCTATTTTTAATTTTTGACCTTATGCCTCCCCCACTTTTAACTTTAAGAAAAGAGGTAACGATTTGTTTTCAAATTTCCCTGAGAAATCATTTTATAACGAGTTACCTACCTTTGCCTGAGGAAGTACTACAATCATAGTATTGAAACCTGAAAATTTTTGTGTAGTGACTTAAGAATGTTTTTATAATAAAAATATAATAATATATAATCACATACATGTCTATAGAATTTGAGAACTTCTTTATTTTACTGAGCTCTCTTGTTCTCCGCAATGAGAATCCAATCTATATGTTCCAAAGGTTGTCAGTTTAGTTGGGGTTGGTAGTATGGACAAGCTTCCACTGTCTATAAAATGCTCTCATGACCTGCATCTCAAATAGCCTTTGACAACTAAGTCCAGCTCAAGTCCAGACCCCACTGGTGTCGTATAATCTCCTGCTTTGTGTTGATGGGAAGAAAAATCCTGATTTTAAATCTCTGCAGCTTTGCAATCTTGTCCAAACAGAAAAGATTATAGAAGTAAATCCAGACAGAAAATATAGTGGAACCCCATCAATGGCAAGCAGTCAAAAACTGGCCAACCTTCTGGCAATTCTTGCAGCCAGCTGGCTCCGGATGTAATGCCCTGTATTCTCTTAGATCTTGTTGGTGGGACTGTGGTCTGGACTGCACATTGCCTTTATATATCATTGCCCAGGTTTGTGTGTCAGAGACTCTTTGGTTTCATCACTTGGTGAGAACACAAAATTACTGGATTTTCACCAATAACTGAATTGTTATGATAATGTCTTAAGATACATGGATTCCTACCCGCCCCACCAAAAAAAAAAAGAAGAAAATTGACATTTGGAATTTCTAGAATGGCCAACCCTTTTCCTCTTTGCTTTATTTGTTTTTTGATTTTTGTTTTTTTTGTTCATGTGGAAAAAAAGATAATTTTTTAATTTCTTCTGAGTAATATTCATGATCTGAATTGGACAAAACAAATGAAAAAAAAGCTAAATGAAACATCGACTTGTATTAGTTGAGACTGCATACTGACTTTTGATTTGTGCTAAGTTAAATATTGTTTGAATTTTGTCCTGATTCAGGTCATCATTCTTACTTATTATAAAACGCAGATTGTGTGTGTGTGTCTGTACGTTTATATATTGGATCGGATTTCCTACATTTTTCAACCAATTTCAACAAAACTTCACAGGACTACATAAAATTACCTTGCGGTGGTTCTGACAGTGCCAAAAATTGGAAAAACAATTGTTTTTGCACGAAATCAATTTGAAAACACGATTAAGAGGCATCACGAGAATGAAAGTGGGACAACTCATATCGATTATACTTATAAAACCCAGGTTGTTTGTGTGTGTTCGTTTATATATGGGATCAGATTTCCTACATTTTTCAACCGATTTCAACAAAACTTCATTTTTTTTTTTTTTTTTTTTTTTGGCAGGTAGTGTTTCTTATTGTCTTGCACACTTTTTTCTTTATTTTTACATTCAGAATGCTTTAAAAATTCCATTTACAAGACAATTGTTTATAATAAAATTCTATTCAATCAGTAGACTTATAACGATTGAAAACAATGCTTTTGTTTGGGTTTGACCAATTCGTAAAAAAAAAAAAAAAAATAAGACACGTGCCCGTCAACCTTAAACAATAATCTTTGTCAATTTTATTTTTCAGTCTTTATGATGGTCGATACTTGATCTATCTCTTACTGTTACATCCCTGGGCAATGCCGGGCGATACTGCTAGTATTATGATAAAGGTGTGTGTTTTTTTTTTTTTTTTTTAACTGGTTCTGTTTGAGTCAGGCCAAGAACTTTGCAATATTTCCTTGAGAATGATTTGATCTTTATTTTGGCATTTATTTCAGCTTCCCTCAAAATTTCTGTTTGGTATCTGCAATATGACATTACATATTTTTGACTTACTGTTTCATTTTTCTTGAAATTTCATTTGGGTGTTTTCAAAAAGTTTTCATTTTCATATCTCAATAAATTCTATTTCTTTTTATTTATCTTTTTTTTTTTTTTTTTTTGAAGCTGAAGTAAATGTATATCTTTCAGTGATTGAAGATCTTTAACTTTTTGAGTGTCATTGGTCATGTTCTCTTTTGTCTTGTTTGAAACCAATATAACTGACAATCATCTACTTCCTGAATTCTATGATAAGCTTTCAGGCTCGGTTTAACATTATCCCTGAAAATTGCGAGAATCTGAAATTTTTTATCTGTCACAATAACATCAGTAACAGAAAATACAGCTGAATAGCATTCATAATGGTATGATATAAAATCAGTTTGAACACACATTTATGTGCTATAAGCCAAAATTGAAAATTGAATTTGCCTTTCAAAAGTAATTTACAAGCTCACTTTGGGTTGAGGAGACTTTCTTTTTCTAAAGGTTTTTATCATATATTCAATAATAATGATAATGAAATTAACCTATTACTTTACAAAGTTTCCTTAAAGTCTTAGCCCTCTTTGATTAATTTACCTTGCTGATTAATGATAATCTTAGGGATGGCAGATTTTAAAATTTTAGGTACCTCCACCTCTAAAAAAAAAAAAAAAAAAAATAAATGGATGACACACACTAAAGGGTTAAATAGTTTCAGAATCCTAAATGAAAGATGGTATAAAACTTACTGATTATTAAAATTCATAGGATGGCCCAAATATTTTGCCTATAGTTTATATAGACTGGGTTAATTCAGTCAGTTATGTGACATGCATGATACACACATAAGCGATCATGCATCTTCCTGTACATGACTGACTAGGCAGATTTTTTCAAACAGTAGGTTGCCATTTCTTTCTGTGGTAGACCAGTTGTCATCCAATGCTATAGAACCCAGTCTGTCCTGCTATTTACCTATAGCCAAGGAGAGAAGAAGAGGATTCATACATTTCGCAAGGGTATTAGCATGTAAGTGAATGTAATGGATCTGA